CTTCAGAAGGATTTTTTTGGTGAACTGTTTCTGTAATACAACTGAACGTTTCCAACAAAACACCCCCTTGGTCTGGTTTGAAAACCAGGCGTCTACAGGTGAAGCAATCATCCAATCAGAGGCAGTTGTAGTTGTAGAAGGATGCAGCCTGTTTTGGCTTCCTGTTGGAAAATGTCTGTCAAACATCTGTTGTGATACTCTCTAGTCGTACACCCATCAAGCATCCAATTCTGGGAAGTGGCACAACCCCTCTCATCCAAAAGCATCCCTGTCCACATGTACCATTACACTACTTTCTAGTCCACTCAGAGGACTCTGTTCCATAAAGCTTAATTGACGTCTACATATTTCATGTATGCGCACTAATGCCATTGTTGCATGCCATCGATGTCCACAAGGAATTTAACAAACTTGGGCAAACGATAAAATGTATGGATGTGGGCCACGGAGGCAGAAAGTATAAATCCCTTGAGGGTGTACCAACATGGTTGTTTTTGTTATACCATTTTTGACTTTCTATGCACGTTTGCAGTCGATCAGCTTTTATGTATTCTACCCATGACCCGCACACTGATATATACTCATGGAGAGGTCCATTCAGACTCTTGCAAACTTCAAAATTTTACAGCACAACCCTCGCAGACACAGAAAGTATGTTCCTTGTTAGACCGGAATCTCTGTTATTTGTCATGTAATGATTTGGATTACGGTTTTATTGTTTAACGATTTGTAATTGACCTGTTTGTTTCTAATTGGTTTGAATGGTATAAATGCTGCGAGGTGGCTCAGCGGTTAGCACCGTGGCCTCGCAGCATTCAAACCTTTTTAACTGGTATGTGTGATAAGTGTAGCCCTGTGATAGACTGGCGACCTGTCCAGGGTGTCCCCTGCCTTCTCCCTAAATCAGCTGGGATAGACTCCAGCCCCCCGTGACCCTAGTGAGGATTAAGCCATGTATAGATAATGGATCAATGGATAGTTTGAATGGTTTTATTTGTCTTACGTTGTGGCTAATATGTTGTTGTGTTGAACTCTGCTATAAAAATTACCTGGCTTGAATTAATATGGTAAATATTAAGCAAACAGGTACCTGCTAAAACATCCAGCAGACACAGAACAACATGTCATTTAAAGATGCCATTTGAATTGCAGTACTTTTAGCTCTGTTTTTGGTCTCCACCAGGTCCTTACTCATAAGCAGCTAATTGCTCCACGCTCAGCGCTAATGTAGCCTATAAGAGCTGCCTGCTGCTGCTGATAACAACGCTGAAAAGAGCGATAGGATTGAACCAAAACAGTTAAGCTGTGAGGGCCATAAAACCAAAACAGCGAACGTAAAGAAAAGAAACGTAACAGACAAGAGAGCAGCTTTGAATAAGACGTGACATTCGGGTGTTGTGGCCTTGGAGCGGCGAGACGGCAACTAGGTTAACTAGGCACTTCCTGCTATTAGTAATGTAATTAATTTTTCAAATGAATACAGAATAGACGCCAGTGGCAAAGAAACAGCCGTGAAAAGTGGCCTCCTGCTTTAAACTAATAGAATTTACTGCCTCTCTTATCTCAGTGGCTGTTGATACAAGCTCATAGACATTCCTGACACAACAATGCTCCTTATGAAGCACAGTGGCTACATGTAGATTTATATGGGGGTCAACTGGAGGCTGCATAGATGACAAAAAAATAAAATAAAAAAGTTCACTTGTTTCTCTGGTAGAGCACCCCGCAGTATTGATTATATTCATGGACGTTAAACGCTGTTCGGTGCATTAACATACGGCAATGCATTAGCACTTCAACTCAAAGGTTTGAGCGATGATGAAAGAAGCGCTTCTTAAAGACAATCCCATATTGATGCATTTATCGGTGAACCTCAGAAACCGAGCTAGAGCAGGAACAGATGGTTCAACCGGCTGACTCCGTCTCCATCGTGGAGCTTCTCTTGCGTCACCACTCCGCGTCATTTCGACGGCAATTAAATAATACCTTCTTCGGGTTGCGCATCTTCAGCTTTGAAACTACATATTTCATTTTACGGCGCGTATAAAATGCCAGTCAGTGAAATTTAATCCTCATCAAACTCCTCCAAACCCCAAGATGAAATTGTTTTCCCTCTTGTGAAACAAAGAGTGAAGATGTTTTCACTTCAATCCTTCCCCCGAGGGACCGTAATGCATTTCGGAGTCGAGCGGAGGGGCTGTGACGTTATCGGGGTCACAGATGTTTCTGGAGACACGACTCCGAATGCTGAAAGCCACTTAGGATGCATTTCATTTCCCAGCTTTGCTTCCTCTATCTCTTGCCCTTGCTTCTCCTCTGATATCTACCGCATCCTAATCTTGCGAGTAAAGACGTCCATTCATCCCCCAGGTCTATTTGTCAAAGAAAAAAAAAACTATATCACTGAGGTGTCATTTGTTAGTCTGTCAAAAACCCCACTGATGCCCATTCAAAGGAGAGTTCAGAGGTTACGATGGATATATTTTCCAATCGGTGACTCTCAAGCAATCAATCCAAACACTGTGACTACTTATCTGATTCTGCTCTTATATTTGGCTAAACCCAAGAAAAGCCCGACTGTAAATCACCAGATCTTGATGGTTTGTTTTTTTTCTTTTTTTCCCCCTCCAACCCCCAAAAATCAAGAACTGGCCTGGCTCAAGTCCTCTCCCAGCTCCCGTAAAAAACTCACTCATTTCACACGCAGAGGCTTTTTCATTGGGATTATCGTTGGCCAAGAGAGAGCGCTTGGCCAGGCACTGAGCCGGTGCCCAGGAAAAACACTTGACGTGATTGAAAAAGCAGACAGCGGCCAGAACATCTCCTCACACGGCCCGGAGCGCCTGGATATAGAAGATTTATCTGCTCCACCGTCATGTCTGAGAGATGTTAATGTGGCATGTAACAAGAAATTGATTGCAAGGGGGGAAAGGTCAAACGGCACAAATGTAGAAATTTGTTTACGGCAAAGACAGTCTTTTTTTTTTTCTTCTTCTTTAAAAGTCAACTCAGACAGATTGGTTCAACTCTCCTCCACTTCAATCCTAGCTCTAACCTTTATGCTCGTAACGCTCTTGTAATCCCTGAGGGACGCCACCAGAAGCACACGGCTCTTGACCCCAAAGAGAGGACGCCTGTTTGATGAACGAGCGCTGAAGGTCAGACCTCTGATTGGTATTCAGCCTCCTCCATCTGAGAGCGATGAACCAAAACACCAGTGTCTATCCCCCCCGCCGCCACCCGAGAGTGTAAATTACCATGGTGACTTTGATAGATACACGGTGTTGCCGGGTACTGAACTTTCGCTGAGGGGACGGGAGCGCCAGCATAGGCAGAGGAGAAGCACCTCTTGGTAATCTGTCACCGGCTTTTTGACAACCTCGCAGTGTCCTGTAGACGAGAGCTGATGGATGCGAAGCCTCTCAGTGGATTTTTTTTTTTACAGATTTGGCGAGGTGTGATGTGCAACTGAAGCTCATTTTCTACCTCTCCGCACACTCCGTCTTACTCACCAGAGAGGTCAGCGATGGTGGTGAAAAGCAAAGCTGAGGGGGGGGGGATGTTTGACCTTTAAGATCTGGAGATGCTAACCAGGCAGCGGCCATCTGACTGAGCCGAACAACGGGGAGGCAACCTGTTCTCCGTCCGCACAGAAGTCTTCCACATACCTGCCATATCAGCAGATGTAACACTTGATAACGGAAGACAAATTATTATTAAATGTGACAGAGCCCAAAACCCCTCTCTACCTGAACAGATGTTTTCTTTTAAAAGTTCTCCGGTGCAACTTCTGATCCCTCACATGACGGATGGTTATTCTCACCAGCACACATGTACTTGTCTTTCTTCGTACATGGTTTGTGTCATCTAATCGGATTCACTTGTGGAATCTGTCGGAGGCGTAATTTATTCATCGGAGGTTTCCCAACCTTTCTGGCTTTTGACCGCTCATCACCGGTTAGGCCTCATTGTGACGAGTTAAGAGCATTTTAGTGTTTTTTCCCCCTTTGCAGAAGGCTGGAGACATGAAATATGACATATTTAACCAGAGAGAAATAGTTAAAATAAGCAGAAATATGTAAGAAAATTGATTAAAATCATTTAAAGTAAATATTCTCAGGTTGCAGCTTCTCAACTGGGAGGATTTTGAGTTTTTCTATTACAAACAAACACCCAAATGCTAGAAAGCTTCACGAAAACTGGAATATTAGAGCTTTTATTGCTTTTTTTTCCCCATATCTGTTTTTTTTTTTAACACTTTGCTCAAACAGAACAAAGAAATTTGGATGAATATTTTCACTGCTGAAGACATTTTACAGCCTAAATAATTCAGATCACTGATTTTGCTGATTTGTCACGGGCACAAACAAACATCTTTCACACCACTTTCACCTCAAGGGTCACTTGATCGCAACTTTTATCCCCTGCTTTGTCCATCCTTTATCTATTCACCTGTCCAACAGCACAGGTTTGCTCCACAGCTGAAGCATTTTTCACATGAACGTTGTCAGAAAGATGAGAGATCCATGAAGACAAAAAAAAAGGAGCATCCGAGGAGGCGCTTGATGAGCAGCAGGATGGGACAGAAGCTGCCCTCTGCTCACTAAGTGTTGAACTTCTGCTGCTGTGGGTAGAATCAGTGCTGATTCTCACCATGCAGCTTTATTTTAACAACATAAAAGGCTACATGTGATTAAAACACACATCAGTGCATGCACAATGTTGGATTTCTGCAGCAGCTAAAGAGAAGTTAGAGGAACAGCAGCTTCTACATCACTGCAGGATTTCAGTGCACTCCCCATCCTTTCTGCGTGTCTTTGTGTGTTTGACAAAAGCCAACAAATAAGCCCTGATTTATTACAGGCTGCAGACAAGGAAGAAAAAAACACACACATGCGAGGAAGCGGGCAGGCGCGACGACCCCCGGTGTTTTTTTTTTTAACCGTGACAAGTGGAAGGACCGTGATGTTGTGGATGCAGGAGGAGGCGATAAACCGTACCTGTCATCGTAGCAGAAATCCGCGTCCAGCGTGTTCGCGTAGAGACCCACAGCCACGGCGGTGCACAGCAGCTCCGTGATCATCTCTCAAAAAAAAAAAAAAAAAAAACGGAAAAGAAAGAGGAACCGGGATAGAAAATGAGTGGAATCACAGGTTCCCTCCTCTCTCTCTCTCTCTCTTTTCTCTTTCAAGTCTCTCTCTGTGTTATTGTGCTCTCAATTCTCGCAGCTCTCCACGCAACGCAGCGCATTTCTCGTGTCAAAGTGTGTCAAAGTTGCCGGCTAACCCATGGCGCTGGGAGGCGGCTCGGAGGTGGCGGGAGGACGGATGGAAGCTGCAGCCGGGTTCTGGGAGCTCGGAGCTCGGTGCGCATTTCTGGGACTGCGGCGTCCTCGCTGTGCGCATCTCCCTTTTGCTTTGGCACCGGAGAGAGCGGTGCGGGGAGACGCATGTGGTTTTTCAGGGAGGCCGCGCATGCGCAGTGGAGGCGGCTGGCGCTGGAGAAGGGGAAAAAAAAAAAAAAAGTGGGAGTGTTGAAAACTGTGGATTTGTGCGTTTGAATCAGTCAGGCTGAGGATGATGTCTGTGTTAGAACAGGGATGGATCGTTAATGTAGGATACAGACAGGGGATGGGATGTAAATGAGAAATCAGTTTGGATTCATATGTTTTGGAGCTGATCTTGGAATTAGTGTGACAAAAACATGAAATAATGATATCAATCTGAGTTGTAGCTTCGTATGCAAAGGCACATATTTGGAAAAGATTGATTTCATACAGTTTACAGTCATAGAAATTCATCTGGTAGCTGCAATAAAATTCAACATAAGACCGACCCAGTGCTCTAAACAACTGACTCTGTTGAGTTTTGATTTTGCTGATGGGGACAGAAACAGTTCATCTGTGATTAAGTGTGAAAACACCATGAAATACCAAAATAACTCTGAGTTGTAGCTTGAATACAAAGACACATATTTGGAAAGAAGAACTGATTTCCTGAATAGAATGATGTTTTACTTCCTAAAACAGGATTTAAATGGTACATTTAAAGTAATAGATGATGTAATTGGTGGCACAGCTGCTGCGACAAAATTCAAAATAAGACAGACTTCGACCTCTAAACAACTGACTCTATTGAGTTTTGATAAATCCATTTAAATGTGTTGCCAAGGGCCACAGAAACAGTTAATCTGTAAATAAGTGTGAAAATACCATGAAATAGCAACATAACTGAGTTGTAACTTGGATACAAAGACACATGTAGGGGGGAAAAATGATTTGACTTTCTGAAATAGCTTGTAAATGAAGACAAAACTTACAAATTAAAGTGAGTAATGTGTGGTGTCACAGTTGCTGCGATAGAATTCAAAACAAGACTGACTTTGTACCTCTAAACAGCTGATTTTTATTGAGTTTTAATGTATTTTGCACTTCCAAGTTTCCCCGCACATATTTTCTCTGCAGCTGCAAAGTGGCGCAGTTGGTCAGCACTGTTGCCTCACAGCTAGAAGGTCGCCGGTTCACGTTCCGGTGGGGGCACCAGAATCTTTCTGAGTTTGCATGTTCTCCCCGTGCAGCGTGGGTTCTCTCCGGGTTCTCTGGCTTCCTCCCACACAGTCCAAAAAGATGTTGAGGTTAATTGGTGATTCTAAATTGTCCGTAGGTGTGAATGTGGGTGTGCTTGGTTGTCTGTCTCTAAGTGTAGCCCTGTGATAGACTGGTGACCTGTCCAGGGTGTCCCCTGCCTTCACCCTGAGTCAGCTGGGATTAAGCGGTGTATAGATAACGGATGGATGGATGGATGGATATTTTCCCTGATATCATATTTAAACAGAATCCTTCTGCTGCAAGAGCTATATCAGAAAACTTCTTACATCCACTGAGGTAACATTTTGTAATATCACTTCACATAAATGAAGTGATATTAGCTCTTGTTTTTTTATGCAATTTTTAAATAAAAATGCATTAAAAAAAATAAAGAATATATATATATTTAAAATATATACCTAAATATGTTTTTTTATATTAAAAATAAAAATAAAAAACAATGATAAAATAATAAAAATTTTAAAAACTAAAATTTAAAAATTAACTACTGTGGTAATATAACCCAAAATGTGATGTCCACTCATGTGGACACCAGGTCTTAAATTCCATCCATCCATCCATTATCTATACACCGCTTAATCCTCACTAGGGTCATGGGGGGCTGGAGTCTATCCCAGCTGACTTAGGGTGAAGGCAGGGGACACCCTGGACAGGTCACCAGTCTATCACAGGGCTACACTTAGAGACAGACAACCAAGCACACTCACATTCACACCTACGGACAATTTAGAATCACCAATTAACCTCAACATGTTTTTGGACTTGTGAGAAGAAGCCAGAGAACCCAGAGAGAACATGCAAACTCCACGCAGAAAGATCCCGGTGTCCCCACCTTCTTGCTGCGAGGCAACAGTGCTAACCAACTGCGCCACCCTGCAGCCCAGGTCTTAAGTTAATAAATAGAAATAGCATTTGAATGCAGACAAAGCTTCCAGATTACAGTGATAGATTCTGTAGCTGTACGTGTGGCTGCACAGTTACTGCCCTAAAATTAAAAAGCGAGACCTACTTTCTACCTGTAGACAGCTGAATTTATTGAGTTTTGACATATTTTGCTCTGACATACCGTATTATAATAATATCATCCCTGATTTCCCTGCAAACATCCCATATAGATATTTATACATCATCCATCTCCTGCAAGACACTCATTTCTTACATCCACTGAGGTAAGACTATAACATGACTCCTCATCAATCCACAAGTTCCCCTCATTATGACTGGCCTGGTGGAGGCCACTGGCACTTTTTGCTCGATTCATCGATCAGTTTGAATTTTATGCTGAGGCGCTCTGCTAAAAGGCTGAGACGGGAATGCAGATCCTGCTGCAGGTCCCACGTTATCTCATTCTAACCCCAAATTAAAATTATTGATTCATTTGCCCACGCACCAAACCCCTCCCCGCCGTCTCTGCGGAGAGGCAGAGCCGGGGGGAGTAGGTGTGATTGATGAACTGCTGCACCTCACCCTATGGCGAGCATGCGTACGGGCATCAGTTTGGAAACATGCAGCCTGGTCCTGCTGGCTACCAGCTGGGCCAACGCCTGTCCCACAGTCGGGGCTCCGGGAGGATAAATCCAGAGCGGAGCAGCGGAGAAAGAAAAACAGATGGCGGGAGAAGGATGTATAGAGCATAAGGGGCTGACAATGGCTGAGATGGTGACAAAGCTTTACAGGCTGAGGTTAGAGAGTCATTAGCAGCCCTGGAACAGGACCTGACCTCGACCTCGTGGAGCCTGTTGGATTATTCAGGCCGCTGTGTTTTTGTACCTGAGGATTCTGTCGAGGTGCTTCCTCCTCTGCAGCATTCGTCAGTGTCCAGAGGTGACAAATGACCGTCCGCTTTTTGTTTTTTGTTTTGACACTTCATCTGTAAGGCAAGCTCAAAATAATAATGCAATTTTACTGTCAGATTAGGAGGATTGTGCAGCAGCATTGTCACGACACACTCACAAAGATGAACGCTGTGCCCTCGGCCTGCCCCGCGGGGACAAGGGTTGCTCTGTCTGGCAGCCGCCTGCTGCAGTGATTAAGGGATTAGCTTAGGAAAATCAGGAAAAAATATTCCTGAGGAGAGTATAAACAAGCTCAGGGCAAAATAAACACATTACAGGGGAGGAGAAAAAAAAAAAAAGCCTGTTTACTCCCTCTGACTGATTACCTGCTCCACCGTGGAGGCAAGCGATGGACATATTGCTGCTCTTCAGCTGTAAACAGGCCAGAGTCCGAAATAAAAACATCCTTATGTGGTTTCAGATGGGGTCATTGAAGGTCGGCTGTACGTGGATAGCGAGGAATCTTTCTTTTGCCCCAAATTCATGTATTTTTCTTCTTTCATTTCCTGTTTGGTTTCTGCCATTCTAGAGGGCGACAATCGTTTATAGGTCATTTAATTTAAGGCTCATGGGTTTTCTCATTTAAGCCACATTTTGTTCAGCACATGGCCAGAGTTGATGCTCACATATTTGACTTGACATGTGTCCAAACTTTTTCTTGCAGCTTGTGCATACACGCTTTAAGTAAAAGTAAAGTATCACAGTGTAGAAATACACAAGTAAACAAGTAAAAGTCTTGAATTTAAAGGTATACTTAGTCCTAAGAGCTTGACTAGAAGGCAACTGGACTTCGCTTTTTGGGGCTTGAAGATGTTTTATTTCTCTCCAGGATGCTTCTTCTGTTCAAACTAACTGATCAGGGGTCACAGATATGTATCATCACCTCCAACTTACATGCTTATTGGCCCAGTAATTATAAATATGTTAAAGCTTTGTGGGAGTGGATCTCAAGACTGCATTATAAGCAACTGATAACTAGTGTTAAAGACTCCCTCTTGGTTCGAAGATGGCAAAGTACAAAAGTATCACCATGAGAATATGTTGAAATTACAAAAAGTATATATTTCTGAATGTATATTACCGGATTCTAATTTAATGCTGGAGCTGCTACAGGTGATTTAACCTCTTTATATAGTTTGTCTGTTCTGTAACTTGTGAATTTCCCCTCGAGGATCAATTATGTTTTATCATAATCTGTAACATTGCATAGTTATTTATTTGTTGACTATAAAGACTATTGGGTTATTGAACTAAATCTGCAAAGTAATCTAAGTTGCCCAATAACTGTAGTGGAGTAAAAATATCCAATATTTACTTAATTGTAGCGGAGTGGAAGTATAAAGTAGCAGAAAATGGAACATACAAGCAACTCAAAATTGCATTTAAATAAACTTAGTAATTAGTTACTTTCCAGCACTAGATTACATCCATCCATCCATTATCTATACACCACTTAATCCTCACTAGGGTCGTGGGGGGCTGGAGACTATCCCAGCTGACTCAGGTCACCAGTCTATCACAGGGCTACACTGAGAGACAGACAACCAAGCACACTCACATTCACACCTACGGACCATTTAGAATCACCAATTAACCTCAACATGTTTTTGGACCTTGTGGGAGGAAGCTGGAGAACCCAGAGAGAACCCAC